AAGCCCCTCAAGTAGGCTCTGGTCCCTGCAGCCCAGTCCCCAACATCAGTCTTGGGGTCATCCTCTCTGAATTTGTTGGGGGCAGGGATCTTGGGACCTCTTTGATCCCTGGCTACAACAGCTGCAAAGGTGGGCTTGGCTGTGGCTTTTTGGGAAGGAGGTGGTGAAGGGGAAGATGGACGTGAACCAGGGGCAGTTGAAGGAGGAGAAGAGAAAGGTTTCACTGAGAGAGGAGGAGACTGAGGAACAATCAGTTTGACGGCGGTCAGTTGAGCAGTCAGATTCTGAGTTGCATTCAGTATCTTAGACTATTGAGCTGCCAGGTCGTCCACCCTGCGTTCCAGGCGGCCGATGCGATCATCCCAATTAGTAAAATAAGAATTGGTGGCCTTGTGCTCAGAAGGGCCCACTCTGCCAGATTCTTATTCATTTGGGAGCAACGGTCATCTGTCAAAACCTTCCTTAGCTGCTCCAACAGGTACTCCCTTATGGAAGTATCTGTTGTAACCTCTAACTTGGTTGCCTCCTGTCTCTCCAATTCTGCAAGCAGGGTCTGCTGCTGCTGCAGTCTTTCCTGCAACTCCTTCTTTTGCTGAGTAGCAGTCAAAGGTGTTTCAGGGGTGGAGGTAGAAGTTTGTTGTTCTTCTACGTTCATCACTACTTCCAACTGTGGCTACTGCTGAGCACCCTGGTTCGCCATTTTCCTCTTTCAGTACAACAATAAATGATAGACAAACAGGGGAGTATGCAACGATTTTTCAGGTTCTCTCAAACTCTAAGAAATCGCTGCTATCTCATGCACAGAGGTAGGTGGGTGAATAGGCACAAACGGTTTGGGTTAGAATGGTTTCTCTGGGGTCAGGGATCAGACAGACAAAAGTCTAATAAAGTCAATCACACGATTTCTTTTTACTGACCCTGCACCACACTAGAATTAGCAGACACAACCACTACTCTTCCAAAGAGACACTAGACTTCCAGAGCCCATTAGAAAGCAAGAGTAGTCAATAAGAATGATAGAACATGACAAGTACAAACAAGAGTGATCAATCAAGCAGAGCGATTCAGTCAGAGACCCTGAATCCTAACCCAGACTCCAATTTCGGCCCTAATGACTTTAACAACCATACCCTGGAATATGGCGAAATACAATATTCACTGTTTCCAGTGAAATACTGCAAATTCAATCAAGCCCTCCTGCAATACTGACTATTTTTGGATTGTGATTGACTGCCAACTGACATAATTGAATTCTGACAGACAAAATTGAAGTTATGACTGACCTTAGGTAGCGCAGGCTATAATTAGACTCAACACAAAACCACAATTCACAATATATCTACTTTTCCAATACAGAATTTACAATCTGAGCATCCCAGATCAATCGCAATATAGTTAGGCAGTCACAGAACAATCTTCGATGAAAAAGAGTCAACAGAGGGTAAGAAATGAGCAGAGGAAGGTAGGAGAGTGATGGCTATGATTGTCATGCAGTCTGCGATTTTCAAATCCAGTCACTGATAGACAGATAGACCATGAATACTAATTAATCTAACCTTATACAGATAGGTGCATGGAACGGACTCACTTTCAGAGTTTGCTGCAGAGTTGGGTAAAAATCTGGCTATAGCAGACTGAAACCCTCATTTCGCCAGTTTCTTCCAGAGCTTCCTCCTCTATGTTCCACGCACATAACTTCTTCAAACTTGTTGATCCTCTTCAGGATCCTGAAGCGCTGCAACCCTTTCTGCCAGATTCCCTGAATCTGACCCTGTGGCACTCAGAAGCCAACATAAAATTATCTTGCCGCAGGTCCCCTTAGCCGCTGATGCTATAAATAGCCCTAGATGGGGTTATTTTCACTTGAGATTGACACTGACTGTCAATCTACCTCAACACTGCTCAGAGATGAAGTCGCTTAGAGATCCATGAAGTCCTCAGGGTAATTCGCCACTCTGAGGCAATTCGCAATACTGCCCTCATGGTTGGCTATGGCAAATTAGCCCTGTTCTCGCCTTTCCCTGACAAGCGCCCTGACAGGCTCAGTGCGCTTGCTCAGTGCAAACACTGACCTCCTGATTTCACCGCTTTATATCTTCTTCCCTGCTGACTCTGTACTGGGGAAGATGAATTGCCATGAAACTTCTCGCAAGTAATTCGCCAGATGAAGAAGATGCCCCTATTGCAATCAACCCTCAGTGCTCCAATTTCAATCCCGCTCCGATACCAACTGTTATGAACTTGGTTGTCTGACGATTTTTACCGCCACTCACACACAGACAGTCTCATACACGCCCATACATGCATAAGAGAAGGGGGAGAGGAGACATACTCCAACTATACACAGATCAGAGTAAACAACGAAAGTTCAGCCATGCACAAATGGGGAGAGGACACTGCGTGTTTCTCACTCTCTGACACAACTCCCAACAAACAATCACAAGAAGAAACCTGCGAGGATAACAATTGGAATTCACACTAATGTTGAGCCAATTAAAACCAGATATTGTTACAAAGTTTGTTCCAGTATCTCGCCACTCTCTGAACCCCACACTCCACTCTCTACCCTACACCCAGTTAGTAGCGCAACACTAAAATGGCCTCCCAGAGGCCAGCGCCGACCACCCAGATGAAGAACAGATCCTGCGATGAAGCCTTCAGTTCAGATGGACAACTCTGACGAAGAACCAGGCAGCTATGGCTGCCGCCACCCACAAACACTCAGTGAAGAGCCTCGATCTAGCCCGGCCAGACGCAGATACCCTCAGGGGTAGATGCGCTGAGGATGCCCCAGCTCTGGCAACCTTCAGAAGGGCCGGCTATGGCTGTCGTCCGCGGCAAGGGTCTCAGGATGCCGCCTGTAGATAATTACCACCGCCAACTTGCTTGGCTTCTCCACACTCTGCTTCGCGAGAATGAACAGCCAAAAGTCCGGAACTGATTTTCCTAATCTATTAATAGATCTACACTACCCTAGCCTAGACCTAGACCTGACTGACTGGACCGACCGGTACCGTTCCAGTTTTGGCCTCTCGGCCTCTCCGTACCCGGCTATAGGCTATAGGACCGTCTATCGGTATAGGCCCTTGGGGCCTGTCCGTCCGAGGGGTAGCCCAGGTCCGCTGTACGCAGTTAGGGTCAGCCGTAGGAATTCCGAATCAATGCTGGGCCTGTATTTTCCCAAATTTGCGGATATGTCCCTCACGAATATTCCTTACAGGTAGGTCTCTCGTTTAGCCCTCAGCCAAACAAAATTACGAATCTACCCTACCGCTGTTACTGTACAGCCTCGCAGTCAGTCTCCGCAGTCGAAATCAGCAGGTCATTGCAAATAGATGGAGGCCCCAGAAGTGCTAGCGGTGTCTGCTCATATCAGCACCCCTAGCACTGAAGCGGGTTGATACACCGCCATGATTTTCGTCTTTTGTGCATGTAGAGAGTAGTGGATATCCCATTTAGTACCTCAGGTGTTCTTTCTCGACCTTAGATTGCAAAGAGCAACGGTCAGATACATAGAATCGGGGTACTAAGTGGGACAAAAGACAGAAGGAAAAAAGGAGAAATTGGGGTAAGTGGGACTCTTTTTCGAGCCCTTCGGGACATCCACAGAAGATTAGCATGGCCGCTCCACAAGGATGACACGCATATATCGAGGAGGTCCCACTTGATTGGTAGATATCCGTCCGCCTGGCACCTCTTACAGAATGGGATTCGAACTCATGACCTCTGTTCACCAACAGTTAGTATATACGTGTCTACCGTTCAGCCACATCGGTCGGCGGGTGCGGTCCGTCTCTTCTCTTTTCAAAATTCTTTTATTTTATTTTCTGTTTTCCCAATTCAATTTTCTGCAGGCGGATGCTGAGAGCAAGCTACGCTGAGCCGCTGGTTCCTTTTTCTTTTTTTTTTCCGTTCAAAAAATTCGCGAGTCCTCGTGACGACTGGGGCGTGGTCCCACTAGCAAAGAGGATCGGATCAAATGCCTGAATCTGGAGGAGGTTATGGAGATGTGCAGGAAATCGAGATTGAACTGCTTTTTTGCATCTCTGCATAAAACACATTCAGATTCAGGAGCTCGATCCTGTCCTCTTTGCTAGTGGGACCTCGGCCCTGCTTGCCTTGGCCCCCCATCTCATTTTATCGGTTCCGAACGGACGCCATAGCGACTGCTTACCTCTCTCTTTTTCGTCAATTTTCCTCTTCTTCTTCTTGATCCCTCTTCTTCTTCTTCTTCGTGTTTTTTTTTTTTCTTTTTTTCTATTTTTCTTTTTCCGTGTTTCCGTTTCTCCCGCCCTGTTTCTCATCGTGAGAAACAAGACGAAGAACAGGGCCGAGGTCCCACTAGCAAAGAGGATAGGATCAAGCTCCTGCATCTGGATCTGTTTTATGCAGAGGTGCAGAAAAGCAGTTCAATCTCGAAGTCCTGGACGTCTCCACAATCACGTCCAGATTCGGGCATTCGATCCGACCCTCTTTGCTAGTGGGACCACGCCCCAGGGCATCTCTTTATTATTATTATTATTATTATTATTATTATTATTATTATTATTATTATTTTACTATTTTTATATTTTTAATAATTGTGAATGCGCCCCGCCAAAGAAAGAAAATAGAAGAGACAATGGGCCACACTCCACTACTCTTCAAATGTGCAAAATGAGACTCTGAATCTTCCGTTAGAACATGGACAGATACAGCGCCGTATTATTTGTCTTTTTATGCATGTGGAGAGTCGGGGAGCAAGGACCAATTTTGCCTTTTTTACGGTCGCCATCGGTCGCATCTGACACGGGTTCGTTGGTACATCACAACCGTTCAAAAGATTGAAACGATACCGAGAAAACAAAGATTAATTAGTAGTAATGACCGCTGCAGTAGTACCTAGGATTGGACTGAATGTCTGAATCTAGACGTGTTGGTGGAAAGGTGCAGAAACTCGAGATTGAAATGCTTTTCTGCATCTCCGGTTAAAACACGTCCAGATTCACGTTTCACAGCGCGGAGCAGATCGCGTCGCGATTGTTTGTTTGAGGAGGGAGGACAGGTGAGAAACCAAGCTCAAAAAAAAAAAAAAAAAAAAAAAAAGGAAACCGAGGTCGAGCTCTTTACAGTGTCGGGGCCTGAAATGCTTTTTGTCGTCAGCGAGGGAAACGAGAACCGGCCGCGCAGCCACGTGGTCTTTGTTCTGTCTTTAGCGGGCGAAAAGACGATCACCGCCCGCGCAGCCACGTGGCACATGTTTTGTCGTTAGCGGTGGGAAATGACGACGACCGCACGAGCAGCCACGTGCTGATTGCCTGGCCGATGGCTTGCCAGCTTGGCCCCTCTCTCGCCATAGCCACGGCAGCAAAAGCTTCTTCTCAGACGTAAGTTCAAAAGTGGCCCTTCCTTCCCCTCGTCCAATTTCCAATTTGCCCCGACCACCACGTCTTATTCATCTTCATGGCCCGCCCTGCACATGGGGTAATCTGGGTTCTGTTCATACTCTGTGTTATAATTAGTAATTGGAGTTTGTCTCAAAAGGAGCGAGTCCAATCCAGATCTCACTTCCACTGCACATCCCCCATATGCGCTTTTTTTTTTTTTTTTTTTTTTTTTTTTGAGAAATCGACGCGCTTCGCCTGGTCACGCAGCAGGACTTACTGTATCAAGCAAAGGGCTTTCGACTAACCCAAACCCACCTCTCTCTCTTTCCACCGTTAAGACGAATAGTGAAATAGTGAAAACACACGCTTATGAAGAAGATGAAGAAGATGAAGAAGGTGAATAGTGAATAGTGAAAAATATAGGCCAGCTGCCTTTCGTACAGGCTTGATAAGGACTTCAATACCAAGCAGCAAGTACTACCGTCTTCCCCCGAACACAACGCACCCTGATTATCAACGTATACAAGCCAACTTTCCGGTCCGGTACAGCCATAATGGGGCCGCGTTGTGTTCGGGGGAAGACGGTAGTCTCAGGTTATGCGCACGTTTCCCGATGCACGTTTCGATCGGCTGCGCTTCGATCATCCTCAGGGCGCTTCCCGCTCAACCATGCCTTGCCGCCGGCCGGCTGTCCTCCGACCTAACGAAGAAGATGAAGAAGATGAAAAAGATGAAGAATATGAAGAAGATGAAGAAGATGAAGAAGATGGTACGACGACATCTTCTTCGTCTTCATGTCCGGTCTGTCGTTATGACATCTTGTCCATTTTCATGTCCATTTTCATGTTGGTCACGTCATCGTCTTCATCTTCACAGGCTAATCGCTGTGATAACTTCATAAGTCGTGATACAGCGATAATGACCGTGGGGTCTATTCGAGGGAAAGAGGCAGTAATCGGTAGGTGAGGAGGAGAAGGGGGAGAGGGAGAGGCGAGTGACACGTGGCGGTCATTAGTTACTTGTAACAAGATCGTTCTAGTACTAACCGTCTTCACCCGAACAGAACGCCCGGTCATCACGCAGTACCTAGACTGAAAATTGCACCAAATTCGGCTATCATGACCGGGCGTTCTATTCGGGTGAAGACGGTAGTAGTAGCAGTAGTCGTGGAGGAGGAGGAGGAGGAGGAGGTGGTGGGGGGGGGGGGGGGGGGGGGGGGGGGGGGGGGGGATGGTGGGGCAGTAGTAGTAGTAGGAGGAGGCGAAGGAGAAAGCTGCTGAAAGACGAGGACGGGGAGGAGTAGTAATTTAGCTGCAGCAGGAAAGTTAGGTGGGAAGAGAAGAAGGGGATGAGATTCTTCTGGTTATCGATCGGATGGTCTACTCTGTTCTCCTTCTCCTCCTCGTTCTCCAAGTTCACCTCTTTCCCTCTCTCCTACGACTGCAGGCGATAGTAGTAGTAGTATGTGTAGGAGGAGGAGGAGGAGGAGGAGGAGGAGGAGGAGGAGGAGAACAAACGAGGAGGGTGATGACGTGGAGGTCAAAGGAGGAGGGTCATGAGGAGGAGACAGGAGTAGTAGTCGAAGCAGCAGTAGGAGGAGGGGGAGGAAGTATGTGGAGGTAGAACAGTAAGGAGGAAAGGAGGAGGAGGAGGAGGAGGAGGAGAGCAAGAGCACGAAGTGTGGGAGGAGTAGGAGAGGATCTCTCTTTCGACAGAAGTGAGTTCAAGCTATCGATAGATCGGAACGAATCAATCATGTCTTGGCTACGTTTCTTCTCTATCTCACCTCCAGCATCGGCCGCTTTCGCTTTTTACTATAGTAGTAGTAGTAGTAGTCAATCATGTCTTGGCTACGTTTCTTCTTTATCTCACCTCCAGCATCAGCCGCTTTCGTTTTTTACTATAGTAGTAGTAGTAGTAGTAGTAGGAGGAGGAGGAGGAGGAGAGGAGGGGGAGCAGGTGACGGTGGTGGTCGTGGTACGTAATAGGACTAGCAGCAGTAGTAGTAGTAGGAGGGGTTGAAGTTGTACATGAAAGGGTTAGCAGTGGGAGGAAGAGGAGGGAGGCGGAGGAGGAGGAGGGTGAGGAAGAAGGAGATGGGTGTGACAGATTATCAATAAGAATGATGCTCGCTGCTTCTCTTCTCCTTCTCGTCACTCTTACCTCTTTCTGTCCTTTCGTCCTTCTCCTCCACCTCCTTCTCATCGACCAGCTAGCTGCCCACACTCGGCCATGGAACAAGTTGCATGGCCATTGAACGACGAGTTGATGGATATGGATGGCCATTGAAACGAGTAGCATGCAGTCGACAGAAGTGGAAGGGGAGCAGTACTGGGGAGCAGGCCGTCATTTCGTGATTTTTTAAATTTATGTTTAATTAATATATTGAATATTTAGAGATTGACCAGATCAGAACAGATGCTACACTTGAAGGCCGGGAACCCGGCGCTTTTTTTTTATTATTATTATTATTTTTTATTTTTATTTTTTAACAAACAAACTTTGTTATACAAGCCGTTCCCTTGCCAAGTGTTACTGCGTCCCCCTATGGTACCGAGGAGGGCATCACCGGCCTACCCTGGAAGAGGACACACAACGGTAACCCGGCGCATTTGGCTAAATTGTACACATGTAACTCCTGTTTTTTATTTATTTATTTATTTATTTATTTATTTATTTTTATTATTTTCAAATTGACTGTACACAGTGTCACATCGTAACTGTAATTAGAGAGGTAAGACGCTCGAGTCCTGTTGGAAATCAGATGCATACAATAAGTCTACGTACCACCTTACGTTTGCTTTAAAAAAAATAATAGAGAAAAAAAGGCCGAGAAAGGTATATGCGATGAATTTGGTGGCGGAGGAAAAGGAAGGAGTAAAAGGGTGCGTCCTTCGGGACATCCGTTAAAATTGGAACGATACAGAGAAGATTAGCATGGCCCCTGCGTAAGGATGACACGCATAAATCGAGAAATGGTCCAAAAAAAAAAAAAAAAAGGAGTAAAAGGGTGTGGAGGGTGGGACAGGGGGGAAAGACTTGGAGGTTATAACCCCCAACGATTTGGCGTTTCGCTGAAATAGGCCCGCGGGCCGTCTGCATCCATCCAACCACCTTCTTCGTGCAGATGCAGCAGGTCTGATGAAGGATATATACGTGCTTCTGCATGGTGCAGATGCATCTGACGGGTCTTCCGCTTTTTTTTTTTTTTTT